ATTCCAGGTATGTGGAATGAAAGAATGAATGAACAGCATTCAGACTCCTGGTTAAGGGGTGGACTCAGGAATCCAGACCACACTAAGGATCCAATCACTGGTTCAGCTTGGATCAGGAGACACACACACAGGCAGAGGCCAAACAAACAGTGAAAGAGACAGAGAGACAGCCTTAGAGAGACAAACACCATCGAGTCTTTTCTACCAGGGAGTTTCCAGTCAAAGCAAGAAAGTAGAATCCACAGAATTTATTTTAAATAAGTCACCTTTTAAAAACTAAGGAGTCACATACACACACACACACAATGGCAGATAAAGGCAACTTCATCCATATTTCCACCTCTGCCTCTCCATCACCCACATCCAGCTTCACACTGGACTGTGTGCCTTGGAGTCTGTCTTCTCCATAAGGTACATTGGTGTCTACCTGGCCTCCCTAATAAGACTAAAAGGCCCTTGAGGAAAGGTGGCTTTTATTTCCTTGGTCAAACCATCTCTTCATTCCACCCTTCAGGGTCCCCAAGCTTGGTGCTTAAACATATGCTTATTAAACACCTAGGATAATGGGCTCCCCAGAAGTATAAGGCAAACGCCCTTCAGGAACTTCGTTCTGGCTAATAGACTCGGTACAGGCAGCATGTAAAAAAGTCCCTTTAAAGGACAAGGCAGACAGAAAGGGACCCACAATCTCAATATATAAGCGATGTACAGTATCACTGGAAATAAAAAAGATGGAGAAAACTGTACATAATAGAAATGTGTGGTTTGAAAACAATACTTTGATTAGCCCTTTGGGATAGAGGTTGAAACCTCCAAAGGGCATGCTGAACTGCTGAGCAAGGTGTGTTTAAGGGCAGAAAGGGGCATTAGGTTTGGGACCAGAGATGAACTGTTGGGGTCCACAAAGAAGGCACAGCCTCACTGCAGGCTGCCATGAGTGGTCCTCCTCCCCCCACGCCCCACAATATTGTCTTTCTAAATAAATGTTTAATTGAGTTAGCACTAACTCCTCCCTGGCTGGCGGGAGAGACAGCTTACACTCCTGGCTTGGGAAAAAAGCACCAAATTGTTCACCTGCCCTCAGTGGCGACGTCTCAGTCCATTCCTGATGTAAAGAGGCAGACTACATACAAATACCATGTGGAATTATGTTATTTTCTGATTATAAGGGCTGCAGATGTCCAGGTAAGAGATGTTAAGATAACGTGATCAGGGAAGGCTTCAAGGATGTGGGACTCAGGTGTGCACTCTGTATTTATGAAAGGAATAAGAGAGTAACTGAATGAGGGGCACCCAGCAGACTGAAGACTGTGATCTTTGTGCACGCACCTCTCCCTCATGGTACTTCTGTTCTTCAAAGTGTGGAAGGACAGACAACCTCCAAAAGTCAAGAAGTGGATGCTGCTACTCAGCTGAGAATAGAGAAAAGTTAGCAGCTATGCTCTGTCCCATTAGGATAAGATTGATCTGGGCCTTAACTCTAAGACCAAGCTAATGATAACATTGGCCTTAAAAGACCTCTACCTTGACTGATTTCAATTCCAGGCAGCACTGTGGCCCTAACATTTCAGAATCTTAGACTTTGACAAGACTCTATAGACATCTGGTCCAACCTGTCACAACTGGAATTATCCCTACCCTACCCGACCCAACAGGCAGAGAGGCAGCTCACATGAACATTTCCACAAGGTTTATCTTCCAGTTGTTTCCTAGTTTCTCTATCCCCCAGGGGACGCATATGTAAGTTCTCCCTCATCTCAGTGGGTGACCAGCATGACCCCACATGCCCTATGTCCTTCCCCACTTCCAAAGCTGGGAATAGTAGTGATGGGCTCTTGAGAACAGATGTTAGGATTCAGCACAGGTGAAATAAGGCCCTGGATTGTAAGGAACTGGCCTGAGCCTTAAAGTGTCCCTTCCAAAATTTCAGAATGAATTTTAAGCTCTCGATAGATTGTTCTAGGGAAATATGGCAACTTTCTCATAAGCTCAGCACATAGCTTGATTGAGTCAACAACAGGGCCCAAGAGCCTTTCACCTCCTTTTCCAACTCTCTCGGGTGTGAGAAGTCACAGGGTGAAAGCATCACATGCCACTTCACCTTGACCCATTCAGGTACAGCAAGGGAGAAGACAAAGCTTGAGTGTCAATCATCTCTCTTAACCTGGCAGACATCTTTCAGAGCTGAAGGGATAGCAGGGAAGGACCAGAGGCTGAGACGTTAAAAACACTGGGGTTCTTACATGAACCCTCTCCCTCTCTACCCACTGGAGCCTTTTATGGGCATGTAAAAGCAGGTGGTGACAGACGGACTATGGGATGGGGTTGCTGGAAGTGCTCTTCCAGGTTATGTTTCTACCCCAAGATCACTAAAACTTGGGGCTAATAGTGCTAGGGATGGTGGGTAGATGCTAGTATGATTACAGGGGCTAAAGAAGAGAGAAGTTGACATTACAGAGAAGTATGAAGCACTTGACATACAGAAGAGTCAATTTACACAGTCTCCAGGCTGGATAAGAAGAAGTACTTACATTCAACCCTAAACAGGACTCCCAGGAGCAACAGTGGGTCCCAGATAACAGATGGGAACTAACTTCTATGCCTCGGCCCATGTTATTGCAAGTGGGCAGGGATGGTCTGACTTTCTCTATACAGGGCCCAGGAGTGACTTTTGGGCTATGGTTTCTGCTGAAAGCTCAATGTCTGGCACCCAGAGCATATCATCCCTCAAGTATTCCTTTTATAGGCAAGGTAGGTGACTATGAGCACAGGGGAGAGAGGAAAACAGAAGAAAAGCAAAGTAATAGGCTTATTTCCTTTAAAGCAGGTTAAACAAGATATTGGAAACATGCGCTTGGCCATGTAATACAGGAATGTCTTTTTATCCCCACTGGTCATCATAGCCCACCCTTAACTGAAGGCAAAAGTAACTTTCTAGACGCTGGTCCTGCTCTTGTTGGTGGGCCCTCTGGAAAGAATGGCCCACTCTAACAGTCTATATTTGGGTCCCACTGAGCCATCTAGGCTACAACCTAGGTCTCAGCTTGGATCACTCCTACCATGAAGGGTGGTCTCAGGATCACCAACTCCTGCCTGTATAAAACTGCATTGCTCAGAAAAGGGGCCAAGTCCAGACAGGCTCAATATTTCCTTATGTATATTTTAAAGTGCTTTTGTCACGTTTCATTTTCTGCTATACATGGAATAAATACTTGTTGCTTTGGTCTGTACAAAAAGTCTGTGAGGGAGGTAAAACAGATGTTATCTAAACAAACAATACATACAGAAAACTATCTTGTTCTGAGTACCCCAGACAACAGCAAGAGAGCCTGAAAAACTCTGGTCTTTGGATTCATCATCCACATCTATACCATACTGCCACCTTTCAAGTTGTCACCTCAATACATAAGTACCAAGAGTCAATGTTCAGGAGTCCTGCAATGAGGCTGCGTGTCACTGCTTTCTAAAAGAGAATGTGAAAGGTCTCATATATAGGAAGCTATTTATTTCCTATAGAAAACACCCAAAAAAAAAAAAGAAAAAAAAAAAAAAAAAGAAAACAAACAAAAGGTGGTTTTCCCCCCAAAGGCAGGCAGTTATGAAAAGGGTAGAACATCTGGTTGCTGGAGTGGAAACAGTAACATTCAGTTAACAATGGAATATTAAAAAAAAATAGTTTTCTTTTCAAATTGTAACCTGTGGTAAACATAGAAAAATGTACTAAACAAGCTTGGTATAAAACAGAGTAAAATTTTCAAATAAGCCCAGGGAGAAAGCACAATGCCAGAAGGGATGGGTACAAGGGAAGAGGAGAAGAGATTTCATACAAAACTACCTATTACAATACAGAAAAAAGTATAAAATGTTCCTATTTTGGAACTTAAGTACAAAAATGACACTGGCATTGGATTATTTCACTATCTAGCCTGAGGAATTCTCAGAGGGTGGGGGAGGTGCTAAAGAGAACAAAAGGAATAGCAGTTTTTCAATCTCAAGTTGATCAGTCCAAATTCCACCCGTTTTCTAGTTGAAAATCTCACCTCCGTCTGTAACCTCTATCCCTAAGCCAAAGTTCATCCAGGTCTCAAATATTCTGTTAGGAAGTCCACAAACACCCTACACATAAGGGCTGGGATCTGTGCGTGCTGGAGCTAAATTTGGAAAATGGAAATAAATCTACAGGCTAAAATGGTGAATACATTCAGCCTCAAAAAAAAAAAAAAAAAAAAAAAAAA